GCTCTCTCTCTCTCTCTCTCTCTCTCTCTCTCTCTCTCTCTTTCTATCTATCTATCTATCTATCTATCTATCTCTATCTCATATACATACATAAATTGAGAAAAGAACTTCTACCACTACATCCACAACGAAACTCGTCTACACCAATAAATACTCCGCGTTTACAATTTGCATCACTACAACCATCAATCCAAATTCGAGATTAACCACGAAAATCGCCTATAACACTGCACTTGCTGGCGCGGAAGCCATCTCCACTAAACCTGTCACGAAATCCGTCTCAAACGTACGACTCTCCGCCGTTACCACGTTCAACATTCGCACAGACACTACTACCCATGGCGAAAACCTCGTCCGCTTGACCTTCCGCATAAAGCATCTCCACAACTGGACTGCTGGTACCTCTGTGACTACACCAACTTCGAAAACCTCAAGAATATGACAGTCCGCGAATTCCTCATCTAACACTAGACCCATCCAGAAAACCACGTTGAGTATACCAGACATGACTAGACACAATTCAAAAATCACCTGCATATAAATCACCTGCACTCATCTCGAAATCCTCAAATATTTTGCGGGTCGCGAAACCCACATCTAACACTAGACTCGCCGTGAAAATTACGTTCACGACACTAGACATCTGTACACCCAACGATAAATGCACCTGCGACCAACACCCACCTGGAAAGCGAACGCTAGGCCGGGAGAGACACCGCTGCCATCAACCCCGCCCTCACCTCCATCCCCACCTTTCGTCTCCGCCTGCGCCGCCACCGCCCGGGGCGCCAGGGGCGTTTAGCATAAGGCAACGACCGCTGACGGCGTCGCAGACGGCGGCACCCGCGCCAGCGCTCCCCCTCCCCTCCCATCCCTTCCTCCTTCACCGCCACGCCCCCCTCAATCCAAGGCCCATTCCGCTCCACTTCCCCCCGCACCCGCCCACCGGGTCTTCTCTCCGCCCATCGTTTTGGAGGGGGCCATCATAGATTTTGGTGAAATAAAAAAAGTTATTGTAGTGTATGTATATGTTGCTATACAATATTAATTTTTAAATATTAACATAAAACTGACATAAATATTTTAAGTCAGTTTTACCAAATAAAAGTAGGAAACAAACGAACACTTTAGGCCTTTTGGGAAGTCATGCCTCGTCCCTGCACCCGTCACTGATGCCGGGTTAGAGGCAGTTCAGGATAATTTGTAATTTCTCTTCGATCAGTTCTTCTGGTACTGGAAGCGAAATCAGTTCTTCTCGTTTCAAGAAGAGCGCTGGGCGTCGGTAAAAGTAATAGTTACAACTGAAACGCGGAGAAAAAAACTATTCACTGCGCATGCGCGAATTGTTTGATGGATACCTGCACTCACAACATTCCCCTTCGGCCGCAACCGACCTAATCCCTCTCCGTGCATTGTGGTGTCGTCCAATTTCAGTATCGGTGACAGTTGATGCTCTTCGATTACGTCATCGTCGCTGGGCGCCAATTGCATGGCATTATTTGGCCATTGCGTAGTCCCAAATGTCCGGAGAGACCGAAGAGAGTATCTCTTCTTCGTCTCGAAAGGCAGGACCAGATCCAGAAAGTATTTCAGGGGGCAATTGTTTTTTTATTATTATTATTATTATTATTATTATTATTATTATTATTATTATTAATATTTTTAATTCGTAGTTTGAAATTAAAATGAAATAATAAAGTTTATTCTGAATGACTGTAGTTCTTTGGATGAGATTTGTATTTACTAATTATTTGGAAAAATTAGCAAAATTACAGAATGTTGGCTTTGGAGCCGGCTAGACTCCTAATGGATCTGCTACTGTCAAGATATAAGACAAGCCATTAAGTCGTTTTCTATGCGGTATATCTCCAGTTGTTCTTTGTTTTGTGTTGGGGCATGTCGTATATTAAGGGAATGGTAAATCAGGTTCACTGTCGATTCTTAAGTAATGTTTTATTTATAATGGCTCTCAGTTCAAGATACGCTGACAAATAATACTTTTATTTGGATTGCAGATAAATAACGCTAAAAAAGTGCATATTTTGTGGGCGAATACTTTTAAAATACGTAGTTTAGGATGTATCATTGTAGGACGAAATTCGTAATCCATTTTTAAGACCCTATGTCTGTGTCGTGTCGAAACGGATTTTTTCGTTCAAACAAGAGGGAGAGACTTTTAATGCAGCCGGTGAATTTCTGAAGTATGATTTTTTTTACATTTTTATTGCAGTATCATTAATTAAGAATATTTGATTTTCCTTTTTTTATTGAATATCTTATCGTAAACAATATTTTCGAGTTGCCAGCTTAGTTGCAGGAGAACATTGAGGCTAGAAAACGAAGTTACATGACAAGAAAGGTTTTATCTCTTCTAAAGCTGACTAACACCGATATCTTCACAAAGACGGAAAATATTTGCTTAAAGATTTTCTAACCCAATAGCTCATGTTCCATGGTTTATCTCCATTATGTAACTTCTTTATGAAATATAAATACATTTTGTAATTTACCAAATCATTAAATTTTGACATTGCTGCTATAATCTTCTTACATATATTCCAAGTATATCCGAAGACAAAGCAGTAAAACTTCCAAGAAATCCCACAAGAATTAAAATAGATATCCAATGCATGCATTATTCTTAAAATCACCCAACAAGCACATGTCTCGTGTGGCGTTCGCAAGTTTCTTTCTTCACACGTGTAATGGCTTAGAAAACCGTTGCGAAATATGCAACAATTTATAAAAATTAAGTATGTACGAGTAGTTCACGTAAATGTTATAGAATTGTAGACGTTGTATACCTAACCTATGTGTATTTGTTGAATAGACTACATAAACCCAATAGAAGTGGATTATTAAAAATAACATCTATTATATTTTTTGTAATTTCTCATTGGATTGCGAACGCTCTCGTCTGTACGAGCGGGCCGTATCAAATCTGTGATATCTACGTTTGGATTTTATTTTCAATGAATTTCCCGTTGGAATCTCTCCCAGCCGCGCACCAACAGCAGGGCACAGCAATTAAACCCCGTACGTAAACCAGCTCCAAAAGGCCCGCAGGGGAGGCTCGCAAGAGGCGCTTTTCCTCGTCGGAAGATGGCGCCCCGAAAGCGGAATGCTGACGCCCACTCAAAATGCCGGCGCGTCTTTACGGGCCGCGGCGGCGGCGGCGGCGCCGGGAGGAGAATGCAGAGGCGCTCGCCGGCTGAAATATGTATGTCTGCCGCGCCACTTCGTATTCAACCGGCACCCCGCCCGCCAGGCCCCGCAGTTCAGCCCACAGCCTGCAGTCTGCATTCGAGTGCGCTACCTGTGTCCGTTGCGTAAGCGCAAGTGGGTAGATCGTGCTTCGTCGCAGACCCGTAACCCGAAGCCGTTGGCGTAACTAAACAAGCGTGGGACGCCCTGTTAGGGTTTTAAATAATGCACAAGGGTATGTCAATAAGTATCTGTACTTTGGTTCTAATCGTCTGTATACTTCGAATTTGCTGTAGTGGCTGATGACATTAGATCATTGGTACCCTCCTGCTTTTCAGAATGAATCTTTTTCATTAATTCGCGAACGCCCTTTTGAAGGGGGATCGTGGACTTAGAAATGGGCTTGCCACTGTTAAAAATATTAATTTTACAAGGCAGGAGGTGTAACAATTACCTAATGTCATCGGACACTATAGAACAATTGAAATATAGGTGAGCTGTACAGCTTTGGGCACTTACCAGCCTTAAGATGACATTGTTCTTTTTATGGTAGGTTTCAGCAATTTGATAGAGTTATTTGCGTCGTTTCTATCTTAATAATTGTAGTTGAAGCCAGGCTCCGAAAAAAAATTGAATTTTTGCAATTTCGGAAAAATGAGATTTTTTAGTGACAATGAGACCTGCACCATTCTTTTAAATGCCCTTCACACTATCAAAGAAGAAAATTTAATAAAAACGATGGCGCCATCTTTTTTAAAATGTTGAAAAGATACCAAGCAAAGTCATGTAAATTACCCTATAAAATTAAAATATGTTTTAAATTCAAAAGGCCGCCACATTTGCCAGATGAATTGGGGAATATCGATTTTCGAGAAAATCGGCTGAACGGGTTTGTCGCTACTGTTGTTCACAGACGGACGGATAGAAACACGTTTTGCCGAGAATCGATTTGTCTGGATATAGCGCCCTCAAAACATGGATTCTGGCAACACGTGTTAGAGGATTTTTCTTCCCTATATTTAGCAACTGGATTTATCCACTTCTTCGTTACCTAGACCCCGTAAAACGAGTTTTTCTGCCGAAAAATTGCCTTTTTTCGTGCAGCATTACGTAACTTCCTCTCTACTGCGTAAGCGGTAGCGACAATGTGGAACGGTAGCGACAACGTGAAGCGGTAGCAACAACGTGAAGCGGTAGCGACAACGTGAAGCGGTAGCGACAACGTGAAGCGGTTGCGACAACGTGAAGCGGTTGTGGCATGAAGCGGTGGCGACAACGTGAAGCGGTTGCGACAACGTGAAGCGGTAGCGATGACGTGAAAAAACGAACACATTCTTTACCGCTGAGAAACGTATACGTAGATGAAGCGATGTGACGAAGCCGTCAGCTCGAGCAGGGCCGTGGGGCGCCAGCAGATGACAGGCCCGAGGCGGCGCCCGCCGTGGCCGCCTTGATGAAGTTTTTTTCCGAGCGGCGCGGCGCTCTGGCGTCTGGACGGACGACGCGACGAGGCTCTTTCTGGCGCAGGTCAGGCGGCGGCTTTCTCCCAATTTCCATCTCAAAGTGCCCGCGTCCGGGCTACCGGCCTACGCGAGGTGGCGATGGTGACGGAACGGCTGACCGGGCCGGGGAGAAATTGTTGGCCCCGGTTGGGGAGGAGACGGTCAGGTTGGCGGTGTTAACGGGAGCGGGTTTGTGGAAGCGGTGAGGGCAGGTGAGGAGGCAGTGGGGTTGGCGGAGCGGTGGAGGCAAGGATGATGGCAGTGAACCTGCTGGTGGTTGTGGTGGGGAGGCTAATGGTAGTGGTGGTGGTGGTCGATTATTTTGGTGGTAGCGGTGGTGATGGTCGTGTTGTTAGAGGTGGCACTGATGATGGTGGTATTGGAGGTAACAATTATGATGGTTGTGTTGGTAGTGGTGGCATTGGTGATGGTGGTGTTGGAGGTGGGGGTATCGGTGATGGTGTTGGAGGTGATGGTATCGGTGATGGTGGTTTTGGAAGGTGGAGGTCTCCGTGGTGGTAGGGGTAATGATGGTGATTTTGGTGATAGTGGTGGATGGTCGTGTTTGCAATGGTGGGAGTGTTTGTAGTGGTGCTAGTGTGGGTGGTGGTGTTGCAGAAGGCGTTGGTGATTGAAGCGGTGGTGATGGTGTTGGTTTGCGCTGGTACGGAGATGGTAAGGGCGAAGCCGTCTCGCCAGAGACGGCGGTACAGGCAATAGAGATGCTGTCAGCAGTAGCGGTGGTGGCAGACGCGATATATGAGATAGCTACGAGAATTAACGCGGTGGCGACTGCGACAGGACGGTATGGAGCGAGCCGTCAGCGGTGGAGGAGGTTGCAGTTGTGGTAAAGGCCACAGATGCATAGGGGCAGCAAGTGGGCGATTTGGTGTGTGTTGGGTTATGAGCGGTCTGGAAAACACTGGTTGAAACGGCAACGATGATGATGCTGGAGGCGAAGATGGTTGACGCGGAGACGGCGCTGTGGCAGCAGGGCCGTACGTGAGGTGGTTGCTGAACCACTGGCGGAGGGGTGGAGGGAAAGACAGGTCGCTGCGACTCTCGCGAAATGAGGCCTTGGGCCGGATTTGATGAGCCGTGTTGCTGAGAAGTACCCTGGCAGCTCACGTGAAAGAAGTTTCTTAGTACAATTTTTTGGAGTTTTGTTTTTGAAGAAAACGTTCGCCCGATGAACTTCAATAAATTAACTCAGGATAATAAAAGAATGGTGTTGCAACATCATATACCTACCTGCATTATTTTTATTTTTTGCCATTTTCGAAAATTCTGAGAATTCAACGAATATGACCCTTGCGCTGATTCTTAAAGCGTCTATTGTCTCAAAAAATTAAAGAACAAATTTTGAGCCGATTTAAATTTTTCAGAAATTTTGCATAAATTGACATTATTTCAAGCGATAATTGCACGAAAACTACTAATATTTACAAATCATTGTAATTCTTTTTAAAGAGCTAACGTTTTAGAACCGATATCATTAAGGAAAAAATCTCTCTCATCGGTATTGTAGTTTGTTGTTTTTATTCATCTGAATACCCTTAATCTAAGGAATCCTGAATTTGTTTATTCAATTTTATTGAATATTTTAATTGCGAGTTTTTCTGTTCTCTTGTGTTTGCTTTCACATGCCTATCAAAATCGTTAATCGCGCTGAGATGCGCAATTGTTTTGATGTAAAGGTTCAATGATTCAATTTCTTACATGGTTCACGTCGGAGTTCCATACAAATTGCAGCTTTGCGTAAGAATAGATTATATACACACCGCAATTCATACTTAATGAAATAAAAGTTGCTAATATATTGTGTTGTGTTTGTTGTTTATTTCATAAGAAGAGATGGCACTGTTGTTAATACAGCGTTATTAAATTGCGTATGCTTGATTAAATTAATAAAACGGGCGTCATGGAAAATGCAAAGTGGCACAAAATCTATATGATATTAAAATGGAGCTGTTGGAGAATCCTTAATAATGCCTTTTTCATCCCTTGAGGAGTGTTGAGAAAACAACTTGAAATTGCTTCAGTTGATCTCTACTATCCTTCAGTTCTTCCTCTGTATTAGTTTATAATTTATTGTTTTATATAAAATTTACATCAACTGATTTAATGATACACATCATGTGTTGTATTTGAAGAAGCATTTACTGTTATGTTTGATTAATTAATCAATCATTTGTAGTGGGTGCATCCCGTTTATTGGGTAAATAAATAAGATTATTACCGAGATGAACATTATTGGAAATTAACGACAATGATATCATATATGTAAATCACGTTCATTCTGAACATGTGTTTCGCTCTAACACATGTAGCGGAAATTGTCAAATTTGGTGGTTGTTTTCTTATAATCAATGAAATCTCAAACGAAATATTGCAATGAGCTACTATTGTCTTCATTTACCTATTGACGCTTACACAGTAACAATCATCAACAGGTAGCTATTGTCATCTATCAAGCCATCAAATTGAAATAGTTATCAATCATAGACGTCAATGCCGAAAACTTAACATAACGCCCGAATGTCGCTATTAGTAAATAGAGACAAGTTTTATTCTTCTTGAACCACGTTCTCTGGGCTATTTGTGTTTAGTTGACACCTTTGAATTGCATCTGTTCACTTTCGTCCGTCACTTGCGAGTTGCCAGATTGCTCATTGTTATTCTTTTGCTTATGTTAAGATTTTGTCTCAACCACCATGGATCTGTACTCTGAATGGACACGAAGTGTTGTTCATCGACGTGTTATCTCATCCATGAGCCATTTGTTTACACGAGATGGTATCGTGGAACCCTTCTGTGTGGTCAATGAACTAGGGGGCGTGCCCGGACTTTGATCGTTTGGTCGAGGAGGAGGAAGGAGTTAAGGTTATCAATCGACTGCTTCGATATCAGTCATGTCTGTCATATGAATCAGCTTCTCCACCCTCAGTATTCGTGGCGTCCCCATTGTGTCGGGTTCATATGTTTACAGTAATTGCTCTCCTTATGAAGTGCATGTTTCTTTTTCTTTCTACGAGTGTAGAACTTTCGGTGATATGATTCTTTAGTGGTTTTGTATGTGACCTAATTCGGTGATATTAAGAAAAGTTTTTTTTGTTGAATAGACTTTCTTTCACAGTTTGTGATGTGTAGTCAAGTTAGATTATCCTAATCGACATTATTTCAAAATTTATTTCATGTTATTCAAACGCAGACAATTATTCTGGTTTTCCTCAATAATACTGTTATCCCACCCCTCTCAACTAAATGTTCTATAAATTGCAATTTTAAATTGTAATGATTAGTTTTCCCTATGAATGCAAATTACGTGTCACTATTGTTGCATTTATATGCGTCTGATGAAATGAGTTGAGCCAACCATTTCATTACCACATGCAACGAACCGGAGCTAATTCATCCCATAAAGGCAAAAGTTCTTTTGACAGACATAGAGAAAAAGAATAATGGAGCCAAGTACTGACCTCATGATATTAATTGACATTAGTGTCTAAAATATCGCACATTTCTTGCCCTTACACATCGTTTCATGAAAGAAATTTATTTTAGGAAATGACGAATGAGAATTATGACTTCTATTACAGGGGTAAATATCTTGTTTAAAAATACTAAACGAACACATCTTTTTGTACTTTCATTTTAGGGACAATTGATGGGACTAATTTCATCTTGTTAGTCTCTATATTTTCCCACAGTTTTGCAGTTCGTACACTAGGTTTTCTGGTCCCACAACTGAATAGCACTTCATTTTGGGGGCGTTAACCTCTTTCTTGTTGTATTTGGTGACTCATACGAGGGTTTATCTCACCACCTGGCATTGCACGAGATGAACCCTCATCTGTTATCAGTCGCTAAAGTAGGGCGACGCTGGGAAGAGTACAAGCTTATCTTCGTAAGCTTCAATGCAAATTAATATTGCAGTGTGTTGACCAACAGGTATTGTGACACACGATAATGGCTAAGATACCTGTCGATAATCCTGCATAAAATAAGAGTTAAACGAGGCATATTTGTGTAGAATGTAGTGTTACGTATTTTTACCTATGAGTACAGGGATAAATACTTACCATGTTGTGTGTTTATGTACTTTTCGTAGTTTAATCTGTGAAGTTGACAGACAAGTAAATACTTCGCACCTTCAATTGAGAAAGTAAAATAAATTTGTCAATTTGATTTTGAAATATGATTATTGAAGAAGCCCTATAACATTGAAAAATTACATTGAATTATATGTAAATTGTATTGAAAATTTTGTAACTTAGAAAAGATGCTCTTGCATAATTTGATGATTACTACTGCGAAAAATCAATGGTTTTAGTCGATATTGCAAATCATGAGAAATATTTTAAGTAGTGCTAGTGAGTCATCATCATATGGCTAAGGAGGTAGATATATTGTACGTAAGACAGAAAGTAAACACAGCGATACACATATAGACTTTATTTCTACTTACTTTGCTTACATTTATTTATATTTTGGTTTCTGTAAATATTATTTCATACGGGAATGGCCCAGGATCATTAATTAATTATTAAATTTATCCATGGTATATATAAAGAAAATTTATAATATTTCCTTATATTTTGGTGTGATTTTTATGAAATATTTTTGGAGACCAAATATTTTCCATCCCACCGGAATGTTCTCACAGTCAGCGCCTCGCAGTGCTGTCTGGGAGAAATTTCTCGCTTAGTCCACAGCAGCAGAATTTATCTCCGCACGCACGCCGTTGTTCGCACATTCATCGTGCACGCGTGCTCGAGCATCACGCGCTGTGGCGTGCGCTGTCGTCACGCGGCGTGCGGCGTGCACCCGAGAGCCTTCGCACGTCAGCGCTGCGGTGGCCGAGGGCGAAGTACGACACCCGGGTGCGACGCGGCGACCCTCAGCGGGGCTAGCGGAGCGCAAGATTTCCTCCACTTCGCGTTCGATTCAGGGCCGAACAGATACAGGATGTTTCAGAATACATGTTTAAAAACTGTCTAGGCATGTAGGCGGGCTGAAGTTGATTACGTTTTACCAATGGAAGGAAGTCGAATTTCGACTCCAGGGTGCGACGCTGCGACCGCAGCAAAGATTTCCTTCACTTCGCGTTCGATTCAGAGCCGAAGTGATACAGGATGTTTCAGAATACGTTATAAACTTTCTGGGCTTGCAAAGGGACTGAAGATGATCACGTTTTGCCAATGGAAGGAGGGCGAAGTACGTCACCGGGGAGCGACGTGGCGACCGCGCCTGAGCAAATGAATTTCCTTCATTACGACGTCGATTCAGGTTCAAAGTAATATATGATATTTCAGAATACATGTAATAAACTTTCTGAGTTTGTAAAGGAACTGAAGATGATCACGTTTTGCCAATGGAAGGAGGGCAAAGTACGTCACCGGGGTGCGACGCGGCGACCTCGGCGGAGCAAATGGATTTTCTCCACTACGATTTGTATTCTGAGTCAAACTGATACAGAATGTTTCAAAATACATGTTATAAACTTTCTGGGCTTGTAGGCTGGCCGAAGATTATAACTTTTTGCCAATGGAAGCAGGGCGAAGTACGACAACGGGTTGCGACGCGCGACATAGCGAACGGTGCTCAGGATTTCCTCATTTACGTAATTGATTCATGGCCGAAGCGCTTTAGGATGTTTAAGACCACATGTTACAAATTGTCAGGGCATGTAGGGGACCAAAGATGATATTGTTTTGCCAAGAGCAGGAAGGCGAAGTACGACACCGAGGTGCGGCGCGCCAACCTACGGCAGAGCGAACGGAGCGCTGGATTTCGTCCTCCGCATATTCAATTTAGGGCTGAAGTAATATGATGTTCCAAAATAAATGTTCCAAACTTCTAGGGCATGTAGAAAGGTTGAAGATAATCCCTTTTTGACAAAGAAATCCCCTACAACGAATTAGGCACGTGACGTTTGCCCCTGATGGGTAGGCAACTCCTCGTGCGCATGTGTTTGGCAAGTGGACGTTCTGACGCAAAGCGATTTGTGTACCTTGTCGGACTCAGATGCACCCCTGCACAAATCAAGGGCAAATGTCACGTGCTTTGTATGTCGTATGCGTCACTTCGTTGAATGAGATTCCCATCATATTTTGTAATAATTACTTTGAGACTTTCTGCATAGACAAAACCATTACTGAACAATTGGGCTCCTGTGTAAAGTATTTTTGTGTTAATGTAGTTTGCAAAAATCCATTTATTAGTAGATTTTGTTGTAGCTCTGAATTATGTGACACTCAAGGCTCATGCGCACACACGTCACTAAGGAATCCCATCGCCCCTATATTCTTCAACATCACTGAAGATGGCTCATATTATTTCGATGGAAATAGGCGTTAGACGAGAGACAGCTAGGTTTATTCCTATAAATATTTATATTCTGATGTGGTGAATGCAGTAGTTATTTATGCACCAAAGACGTTATAAGCATTCTATTGGTCCAGAGCGAAAAGGAACCCTCGGGCCAGAGGTACTTTTTATTGTGGCTCGATCATTAGAAGCAGATACCGTCCGTGGTACATACAAGATTTTACTTTCTACCTAATTTTACAAATTCACAATTACTTATTTACTAATTAACAAGATGTTAACTTGACTGCTTGATTCGGTGTGTCTGTTCATATTTCCCTCCCACAATTCTCTGCATAAGAGAACATGGAGCATCATTCAACTGATATCATATTTCCCTCCTAATGACGATCATTTTGATCCAGGTAAGTTATGCAGTGTATATCGAGCTCCATATAGAAGTCAATAACAAGCAATAACGTATTAATACTTTTGTTTAAAAAATCCATTTCATAAACATAATTTGAAAAGGAAAGTATGTAATGTCGTAAATTTAAGTGACCGTCACATAATTCGTACTAGTTCATTCTCTCTAGCATTTTGTCTGTTGAGAATCGCTTAAAATAAATAAACGCTCATCTGTTGCAGGTTAATTGAATGTTATATTCTGACAATATTAGGGGGACATTCTGAATGTCACCTGTGAATGGCACTCGTGTGCAGTCAAATTTCGGTTTTGTAAGCCCTAGTTTTCACACGATTTTGTTCACATTTTTTAGTCGCAGATTTCTACCAGTTTTGATAGATCCTCTTCGGTTTTCGCCCTTTTGAAAACGGTCTGTACCAAACTCGTCCGCTTGCTCGCATGACTGGACCACTCATCATTTGGAATCGAGCACTCCCACAAAGTATCTTATGCATTCGTGACTTCATCTCCCTTTGTTTCTCTTTGAGTATCATCCTGCGTGTTCAGCCGAAACACTTCGTAATAATCCTTTCTTTTTTGTGCTTGTTTGAATGAGACTGCTAAATAAGTCGCCACGATGTCTGAGGATGTTGCGCATGTCATCCCTTTGATAAAGAAGCCTTGAAATACGATAGAATTCACATTATAAAATATATTTTAATTAAGATTTTTGGATTCTGGAACATATTAATTGGATTCACATTATTTCGTAATAAAAATTTTGCTTCAAATACAACATATTCAATTTTCTAACACCAGGTAAGTTCTAACAAACTTGTCCGAATACGAATTTTCCACGAAAGCCTAGGTTTCACTGTCATTTTTCGTGTTCGATGTTCCTTGACCTTTCCCGTCCGAGATTTTTCATGTTTTCAGAAATATGTGAAACTAGCAAATTCACGATTGTTATGTACAAGAGTTGTATGTCGTTTTGTTGCGACATTTCTAGAACGATTTCGCGTTCTGCCGTTGTCTCGATTCTCTACTTGCAGACCGTTGTACCAAGGGGAAAAGCGTTGCGACACTCGCAATGGCGCTGGAAGGGGACCCTTTCGTGTCCGAGCATAATCCGAGAGTGAGAGAGAGAAAGACTCGCCACTATTTTGCGCGATTACAATAGCCCCGTAGCTCGAGAAAGTAAAAAAAAGTTGAGCTGCAGGAATGCCCGTTCCTTTGTGATCTGCGTCTGTTGCGCCCAGAGCAGCGAGTGGCGAGGGGCAGGGAGCGGGAGGGGAAGGGGGAGGGGTGCAAAGAGGTCGTGGGTTCGTGGTCGTGGTGGCAGCCCTTTTCCGTGCGTTGACCTCATCTCGTTGTTCGTACAGACAGTTCGTCTTAAGATGGGTCTCCACTGATTGATATTGTAATGTACCTGCTACCACCGGTTTTATGCTTTTTGACAAGTCATTATGAAAAATTAAATTTATTTTCATGAGGGGGCTAGAATAAGATTGTAATATGTTTACTCAATTCGGGAGAACTCGAGGTGATATATTTATTTCTGTTTAGATCAGTTTCAAGACCAAGTATCTGCTTATTCGATTTTAACACAAATTTCTTATGTCAGCCAGGATCTCTCAGGTTTGTGCTACCTCCTAATAAAAAAATATTAACATTCCATGACAAAAAATTACTCTTTTCAAAGCCAAAGAAATAGAGCTGGGATTTCTTCCGTAAAATTTGTGTAAGAACTTGGCTTGAACTTTGCAAATTATTGTGGAGGTAATGACAGTCCCTAAAGCTGGTTGCAATCAGGAGTAGATTTTATATTCAACCGACCAATAACATGTTTAGTCGTGAATTTGAGGACTAAATAATAATAATAATAATAATAATAATAATAATAATAATAATAATAATAATAATAATAATAATAATAAAACGAGCGAAGTGACTCGGTGCGAAGCGCGTTGACTTTGCAGTCGGGAGGCCCCGGTTTAATTCCCGGGCTTGCTATTTTGACCGGAGTTTTCGTGGCTTCTCCCGGCCGTACACGCGAATGGGGGGATGGGTCAAAAAGCTAACGTTCACCTATCATCATCTTGTCACCTCATAAATCATAATTCGATGCTTATTAATCTTGTTTTACCAAGGGCCGAAAAGCTGGTTCCTATAATCACACACGTTAATTTCTCTAATAACAACAATAATAATAATTGTTATTGTTTTTGTTGTTAGTATTGCGATCTCATGGACGAGGTCGCTAAGGCAGTAGTGCCGTCGTGGTCTCGGTCTAGAAGATCGCGGGTTGAAGTTCTGCCTCGGGCATGCTTGTGTCGTGTATGTTTGTATGTGTGCGTCGTCCTTTCACCCCTCACTACCATTTAACTCATCATTTCATCTTTCGCACCCCCAGGGCTAACAACCGTGAAGGATAAAAATTGAATCTAGCTAAATGCGGATACCATGATAAATAACATGCACCTGTCACCGAGATAATGTTACTGAGCGTCGGTAAATGCATGGTGCATGCGCGCGTGGTCCAAGTCGGCCTACTCGCAAGCATAATAATAATAATAATAATAATAATAATAATAATAATAATAATAATAATAATATATAATACGCGAAGTACGAATGCATCCTCCGGTGTCTCGGCGGTCGCGGGAACGCTTTTCTCCTCGGAGCGTCGCGCGGGAAGTCGAAGCCGGCGCTCCATTGTTTCGCCGGCGCCGTCCGCTATAAATCGCTCATGCCCGGGCGCCGCGCGCCGCACCGACTGTGTCTCGGGAGCGTCGGACTCTGTCGGCCGCGCCGATCTCGCTCTCGCGCCCCCACTTCGTTGTGCCGCCCGACCCTCCCCTCCCCGACCCGCTCGCTCGCGCCGCCCCACCGACGCCACTTGGTACGGGTCGGGTGTGAGAAATTGAAATGCAGGCGATCCGGTTATAGCAACTTCTAGGAGACTAACGGTTTTTTGTGTCGCTGTCATATGAGATGTTCCGCTATATCCGAGGATGTCAAAAATTAAACAGAATTTCTCCACAGTTATTGATTTTATTAATGAAGAGAATGAATAGAAGTTTATTCTACTAGCTTATAATACTAAGCTTTATAGCTTGAGTATATGTTTTGAAAACGTAGGACGTTAGGGGCAAGTTTTCAAATTTGTACGAATGCAATAAAGAAAGATTATAGAAGAGATGCATACGCTATTTTTTGTATAACATCATTATAAATTTGTAAGAGAATCAAACTTAATTTTGCGAAACCACTTTCGTGTGGCGTGTCGGGTATTTGACATGTGTATGAGATTACGGTGGTTCGTTGTTCCGTGTACCTTTACCTCTCCACGAATCTGTCTCTTCGATTGGCTGAACGTGTGATGACGCAATCACACGACCCGTAAAATGATAATACGTCCTCGTTTGTTCCGTAAAATACCTGGTTCTGAATGACTTCGTGCGACAAAAAAAGTATTTTATGACGTTGTACCAAAAATACTTTTACTACATGAACTGAAAATGTCGATTTTTTATTCGACCTTAAAAATCAATTAGTATTTTCATTTGTTCGCTTCATACGATTTCATTAGTAATTTCTCTAGATCCTTTTCTAGAGTTCGTGCTCTCTCTACAATTGATTCTGCATTGTCCACTGTCTGTTAGTGTATCGTAATGCAATTTTGGCACTCTGGAATGCGTTTTGCACCTTTGCAACACCGTCTCACTCTTAGTGAACACACCGAGATTTTACAGCGCTCACTATAACCGAAATTTTATGAATGCACATGAAAATTAAATTCATCTTCTTGGGCATCATCATTTGTGACGTAAGTTCACTATAACCGAGGGTTCACTACAGTTCGAGTGGACTGACGTTGTACAAGGAGGACGTAGGAGATGTTCGTGGTGAGACTGATTATCTTTACATGCATTTTCCAGAGACTTATTCTTGTGAAGATTGATGGATCATTTCTACTTGTGTGGCGCTTTACACATTGCGTTTGATGTCCTCTGTTATTATTATTATTATTATTATTAATTTTTGCTTTGTCTACAATTGCGTCTTTACGAAAGCATTCTATTTCAAGGGCATTCTAATAGCAGTTGTTTATACGTTCTCCATTGTTCTATAATATAATTTTTAGTAATATATAGAATGTAATATTCTAAAATTATTCTGAATATTATATAGTGACAAATATTTTTATAATACCAATTAGATTTAGTACATTAATTTCAATTGATATCTTTTAGAAAATTCAATCGTCGCCTAATTTGATTTTTGAAAACTATGTGTGTTGCGAATTCATCATAAACAATTAAAAGTAGCCCGTTGAATTTTCTTTGAATGTATGTATATATTATTTGCGTGATCTGATTTTAATGTCAATTATTCTTTGCTTTCAGGTGAGTAGTGTGCTGATGGCAAAGGGCTGTAATGTCATGCTGTAAGTACTATTTTGGAGTGTATGTATAAATCTTCAAGTTTTAATACGAAGGTCTTTTATTATTTTTTTTTATTTTGTCAGTACCAATCTTAAAAAATATACTAATTTTACCTTTTGATGTGTTTTTATGAAATTAAATTGAAATATTTAATCAAATTAATTCAGTGATGGTCTTATTTGAAGAGTGCGAGCAATTGTAAAGGGACTTCTTAAATTGTTTTTTTATGTAACGGGACTTCTTAAATTGGGATGAATTATTAATACTTGTACTGTAAGGACATTTGTCTTTTCGATACATTTTGTCAAGAATTTGAATACGAAAGCAGATTTATTCTCGAAAGTTTGCCACATCGAAAGACCAATAGAAGATGGTGGAGGAAGAACAACCAACTATGGAATTTAATCTGTACTATTTCAGGTGAATTTCATCTACCTTTCATGGCAGATTTTTGCATTTTAGTGCAGCCAACCCACTGAAGATGCCTTTGTTCGGGGGGTGATCCAGACCTCGCCCTGTTGGTCTATTTCTAGCGCACTAAGGATGTAGGTCGAGTTTATTACTATTCTTTGCATTAGAATGCACCGTATATTTTGAAGGTAGCCGAGGAAGGCTCCTACGATCAAAACAAATCGACCTCGTTTTATAGGTTTATTGCATTTCTCTTTCCACGCAACCCTCTTTCGATATGGTGCGCGGTAACGTGTTACATCTTTCACACCTCTTTCACACTTCCCCCTTGGGAGATTTTCGGAGGGTCGAGGGAATAAAGTTTAGAGGGTGGGATCGAATGCTGGCTTCTCGTGCGCAAACGCATAAATCTGAGGATAAGAATATCAGATCAATAGTTTTCTTTCTTTGTACTGAGTGTTGTGTGTTTTCTTTTCTAGGATGCTAGGAAATAAAGGTTTGATGGGGAATCGATTACCTGCCTGCTTTATTTTGTGCAATTGCATACTTTGTTTACGTTTTTCGTGTAAAACGTTTAGAGCTTGTTATTTCCTTTGTGTCTCTCTTGAATGTCATTTTATGCCCACGTAGACGATATCCTCCACGATTCACTAGTTGTTGCGGTTTGATGGTGTTGATAGTGTGCGTGATGTTATTCGTGTTTTTAAAGTGCCGCAATCTCTGAGCACGACCCTTTGTCATATGTATGATCCATCAAAAACACTGCAAACCTGTGCAGAAATGCGTGCATTGAAATTTCACTCTATTAGGATGATTTTGGGAACCCATTCCATTTTTGCTGAATCATCGAGTACCAAATAAGTGTACAATGCTCCACTTGCTGTCTTATTTTCACGAAAAATGCACCTCCACGCATCTGACACCACTCGTTCCATCGGTGACAGTTGAAGCTATTGGTGCACGAATGCGTCGTATGCAAAGAATGCCAATCGCAGGGCAATAGTGGGACCGCGACATGTTGCTATAGATGCTGAAGATACATATATTACTTCTCTTGCCTCTGCCAGGAGTCGCTCATCCTACCAGTATATAAATCGCCTATCGGAAATCGAAGCACTCTGTGGAATCAAACTTGTCTGGAATCGAAACCCTACCTAATATCGTGCCTCTGCAAATTTTTGCCCGGTCTCGAACTTTTGCAAATTCTTGCGTGGAATCAAAGTCCTACCTGGAATTCCAGGATTCCCTACCAGGAATCGAATCTTCACTGAGGATCGAATCTTTACCGGGAATCGAATCTTTACCGGGAATCGAATCTTTATCGGGAATCGAATCTTTACCGGGAATCGAACTTTCACCGGGAATCGAATGCCTAGCCTCGAATCCAACCCTCTTCCATGAATCGAGCCACCGGGCCCTCGTGTCTGACTGATGATGAGGCTTGCAGGATCCGCATTCCGCACGGCCTTGCCGCGTTTTGCCCATTTCCCCCGCGCCCCCTCGCGCGCGTCATCCCCGGCGAGTGCCCCGCCCCCCTCCCCAAGACCCGCGCGCGTGCCGTATCCGCCGGCGCGATGCGGCGGTTTAAAGTGCCCGGAGCGCGCACCGGAAATAGCTTAATCCCGCCGCGCCTTCGGCCCGGAATAGCCTCCAGCTGCTCCAGCGGCGGCGGCGGAGGCGGTGGGAGTTGGCGTTGGCGGCGGCGGTGGCGGCGCAGGTCGCGACGGTTTGCGGATTGGCGGGGAAATTCGGCTCCCGGCAGCATTGTCGTCAGGTGAGTTCTTAGGCGACTGGTCTGCAGTGGTCAGATCGACTACTTACCGCCTGGGTACCGCGGTTCAGCCACTGAGTGGAGGTCAGGGTGAAATTTGTGGACAATGCGCTTTGAGTATTTTTTCTAGTAATAAATAATAATAATAATAATAATAAGAATAATAATAATCAATAAATAATAAATAATACTTATTGAGTACCATGTACAATTATAATCGTAGTATGACGCCAATAATATGGTCTGGGGTGCGAGAGAGCGAAGCGAATATTACTGTCCAGAAGACACACAAACAAGGGCGCCATCTCAGTATTGCTCAAAGGGCCTCCTGGAACAGAGAAAACCTGATTCCAGATGGAGGGCGGGGGGGGTTGTCTCGTTTTCCTGCGTCTCATTCCCCTACTGTCTATTGAAATGATACCGTCACTCATCCGATCCGTTCACTCGTCCATTCCAGTTGCTGCTATTAGACTTGCTGAAATCGTAATAACATAGACGGGACTACAGTTAGCATTGCTGCCCTATGTAGTGGTAGAGACATCAGCTTTCCACTTCTGCTGTATTCAGGGTTCACATGACCTGTGTTCATATGCATTAATTGTTGTGGGACATAGGCTTGGCGCTGCAAGTTCTCAGGTTCCTCTTCGTATTTAATGGGCTCTCAGCTCACATAATACTCCAGTATATAGTCATATCTTTGTCAAAAAAGCATTCTTCACTTATCCGTCAAGAGAAGTATTCAGAATGACTTCACAGAGTTACCAATCTGTTCACGGATTTGCCTAATCTCCAACGTCGTACCAACCGAATGTGGGATCCTATTGTTTACACCCACTTCTTTTTCTTGTTGCTGTTGATTCTCATCATGTATCGTAGTTGGTTTAATTAGTGTAAGATACATATATTTCTGCCAGGGGTGTGGAGATCTCATGTTGCGACAGTAGGGGAATTAGTCTGATTTTCTTCGCCTCGCCCGTTCCTCTGCTAAGATGCCCGTCCGTATTGTGGCTGTGCTGCTCACTCAGCCGATAAGTCTTTCCCAGGACACTAACTCCAGAAAGTTAAACCTCCCATTAAATCATCCTCACCCAACTCTTCACAACAATCTTTATATGTTACTACAACTTCTCAATAAATCAAGATTGACCGATATAGCCAGAATCGAGTCATTTACTCATTTACGAATTATCTAATCAGTCACGAAATTACAAGAGATTTATCGCAAATACATTTTTATTTACAGTGTAAAATATTTGTGCTCCGTGAGTCTTGTAAATCAAATAGTTACGAGATTAAATTCACTCTTTTAATTCGTAATAATTATTTTTAAACTAATCCCCAAGAATATGGTAAAAGTAACATTAATTTTATTCTGATCTGTGTTTACGGCAATAATAATACAATTTTTTTTTTTTTAAATAAAGTTAGTAGCACATAATCTCCTTTACGTCATCTATAGCTTAAAATTGTGTGCTCTGGGTACAAGGAAATATCAGAAAAATTGTTTTAATATTGGTTTCGTTCCCTCCTGGTTACTGTTATCAAAGCCTTAAATTCTCTACTTCAATACGCGTTGCGTTGTTTCTTTTATCGTGTTATTACTACTGCTTGTTTTCTTTCCACTTACTTTGTCCTTTTCACTCACTATCCGTTATTACCATATTAACCCATTTTACTATAGATGAGAAAAAACAAATAACGGAAAGGAAGAACAATGATTGAAGACAAAAGGAAGAGAACGAGGGAAAGAAAGAAAGAAAGGAAGAGAATGAGGGAAAGAAATAAAGGAAGAGAATGAGTGAAAGAAAGAAAAGAAGAGAATGAGGGAAACAAATAAAGGAAGAGAACGAGGAAAAGAAAGGAAGAGAACGAGGGAAAGAAAGAAAGGAAGAGAATGAGGGAAAGAAAGAAAGGATGAAAATGAATGAAAGGAAGAGTATGAAAGAAAGAAAGAAGGAAGGAAAAAAACAGTGCCGCAAAAGCGGGGCGAGAAGCAGGTAGCTGATACCCAGGAACAAGAAAGTGTCCGCCGGAAGAAGAGGCGGAGCGCTGGAATCCAAGTGCGTCTGCGATCCGCGGCACTCTAATTCGCCGTCCTCTGGCGCTTCGCCTCGGCTGCGGCGGGGAACGCGGAGGGGGAGGGACGTGGCGACGGCAGGGCCGCTTCTTGCTTGGTGGAAGAAGCCGCCGCCGACGCCGCTCCCGAAATAGCGCGCGCGGGCCGCTGCGTTTTTGTCTCCGGGGCCGCCTCCGCTGGAGGATCCGGCCCGCGCCGCCCCGACACTGCTGCTCACGGCGGCGGCGGCGGGAGGCGCGGCAGACTCGGCGACAAATGGTAGCGGGAGGATGATTGAATGGTATCTGACATCAAAGGCTGTTCGGGGTCGTTAACACGAAATTTTGGTTTCGTGGGTCTAACCAAAGCGAGCAGTCCCCTGATTGCTCGGTCTCACGTTTCGACATTACGTGTCATCTCAGCATTCTAAATAATTAATTGCAGAATAGTCGTAGCCTCTAGTTCTTATGTGAGGCATAACCGTGTTTGAAACAACTCAAAATTAAAGAAAAGTGGGTTTAAAATGAAGGTTTGGACTATTCCAATGTTCTGTTATTTTCATATAAATTTGACTATTAATCCTGTGAAACGTAACAAACTGATGTGATGAAGTTGCTAATAGCAGGCCGTGGCTTATGATCTACATTACTTATTACGAAACGGATATCAGTTTCGTAATGTTTCACTGTACATAATAATAATGGTGTGTAAATAATGTATTATGGTTGTCTTATGTTTGATTAGTGATTCCGGGAGTGTCAACTGCTA